TATGCATTAGTATTTGTTTTGTTAATCTTATCTTTCGTTGTCGTTCCTGCTGCTATTGTTATTGTTCCTGATATTGTTATTGTATTGTAGTTTTGTTATTATGTCATTATTATCATCATTATTGATAGTCTTATAATTCCTTTACTATCATTTTTGTATCATTATATATTCATTATTTCATTATTATTGTTCATTTAATTATTATCATTATTATCATATTATTTCATCTCATATTATTCATTATTATTTATCATCATTATTTATTATTGTTTTTTATTATCATTCTTATCGTTATTGTTGTTTTTATAATTATTATTTTTATGGTCATTATTACTGTTATTGTTATCTTTATTACAATGCCATTAGTATTATTATCATTATTATCGCTATAATTATTATCATCATCATCCTCATTATTATCATTATTACTACTACTACTAACATAATCCTCAATATCTTCATTATTTTTATCATAATCATCCTTTTGTTATTATCATCTTTATTATTCATCATTGTTTTATTATAATCAATATTGCTATTATTACTGTCGTTATTAATCATTCATCTTCTTCTTCTATATATTGTTATTATTGTATTATCAATTATTATTATTAGAGTAATAAGTAAGACAACAGTTTCGGAATCCTCCTCGATTCCATCTTCGGGGAGAAGGAGTATAAGAGAAATAGAAGGAGAGCAACCCGGAGCAGGTGAGGACAGGAGAACGGAAGCGAAGGAGGTCAGGTCAGGTCAAAGGATCAGGCGGTCTGTCTGAAGGGTGACAGGTCTGAGGAGGAAGTGGAGAAGAAGGAGTATAAGAGAAAGAGAAGGGAGAGGCAACACGGGGAACACGGAGCAGGTGAGGACATGAGACCGGAAGCGAAGGGAGGTCAGGTCAGGTCAGGCGGTCTGTGTGAAGAAGGCGGAGGATATGGAGAGCGAGAACTATCGCAGGAGAAAAAAAGGCTGTTTTAGTAGAAATTAAGCCAGCTAGTTCGTGCTAGTTTGGGTTTTTCTTCCATAGTATCAACATGATAGCATTTTTTTTCTATTCATTATTATAGGATTTAATTACGCAGGAGGTTATTTTGTTGGTAGCGTTGGTTAATTTGTTAGTTAGATGGTGAGCAGGATAACTACAAAAAGTCATGGATAGATTTTATGAATTTTTAAATTAGAAATGTGTCATAGTCCAACTTAGATGCCATTAAATCTAAATAATGATTGAAATGATTCATTAGCATTGCATAAGATTATTATTGTTATAGTAGATAGTATCTTTTTATTGATATTATTATCATTGTTATTAAAAACATTTCTATTATCATTATTATTAACAATATCATTATCATCATTATAACCATTCTAATTATCATCATTATCACTATTATCATTATCATCATCATTATTATCATCACATTATTATCATAATCAGTGTTATCATTATTATCATAATCATTGTTATTACTGTAATTATCATTGCTATCATTATTTTGATGATCATTGCTATCAGTATTATAATTATCATTGTTATCATTATTATAATTATTATTATATATTATTATCATTATCATTATCATTATTATTATCATTATTATTATCCATTATTATTATTATCATTAGTATTATCCATTATTATATTCATATTATCATTACAAAATTAATTATCATTATAACCCTTATTCTTGCATTGTCACTGTTATTGTTATTGTTAACTGTTATCATTATTATAGTTATTATTATTATCATCAGTAGAATTATTACCATCATCACTGTGGTTATTGCTATAGATATTATCATTATCTGTATTATTTTGTGTTTTATTATTTTTTATATTATCATTATCATTATTATTATTATTATTACTATCGTAATCATCATCATCATTATTTTGATTATCAATTTTGTCATATTTTTATTGTATCATTATTTTTATCATCAAACAATATCATTTCATTACCATAATTGCTATCGTTATTATAATTAGTAAGACCTATTTCATTATTATATAATAATATGATATAATAATAATTATTATTTATTGTTATTATTATTATTATACTTGGTATTATTATCATTATTGTTATTATTATCACTATCGCCATCCTTGTTATATGCATTATTATGAATTATCATTATCATAATCATTATCATCTTTATCATGATCACTATCTCTGAGAATAACAGAATCATTATTGATATTAAAGATACTACGACTACCAGCTATTATTTTTTTATTATTGTCATCAAAAGGTTATGATCATCATTTAAATTACTGCCATTTTTAACATAAAAAATATCGTTTAAGTATCATTATCAGTAATATACCTTTCATTAATTTTTGCGAATGTCTAGTTCATTTCGCTTTCTAAATGTTATTAAAGCTTCTTAAACAATAATGTTTTCAATTAAGGACGATTTTCGCAAGATGAAACTCAATTAATGCTTTGTCGTATTATTACTAATTGCATTAACAAGGTAAATTTACTGTAAGTGCAACGATGCCATTATCTAAATTGTTACCAAGAGCACTAAAACCCTCGCTATAACGCGGTTCACCTTTCACGTTCTCGCTGCTTCACGGATTTGCATTGTGCATTGTGTTCTGCATTCTGATTGGCTAAACAGTCTTCGCTTCTTCTCTACCTGTGTGTTAATAACGTTACGGTTTAATATGTACATGTACGTAAAACAGCTTGCCAAATTTAAGTTTGCAAATTTTCTCTAAAACCCATGAAGCCTTCAGTTTGTATTGATGATTGAAATTATTATTTTACAGTACAGTAGATATTTGTAAAAAACGTTTATACAGTACTTTTATTAGTTAAAGAAATGCTTGGGCCTGTAAAAAGGTTTTGTCTTTGGTTTCAATGTATCGTAGAGTATTTCATTGTATAATAATTGTAAAAAAATAAAGGTTACTACTTCACGGATTTCGCCTATCGCGGGTTCTTTTGGAACCCCCGCGAAAAACGAGGGTTCACTGTACTGTAGCAACATGGCAATTTGGCTGTGAAATTTAGGAATTCTGGCAATGATGACGCCAGCAGATTAAATTTTGTTCGCAAATGTTCATAGACTCCAGCCATAATATACCAGTTAGTTACATGATATCCCTTTTTACAAGAAAAGTCTCGTTTTCTTGTGTCTTATGTCAGAATATTCCATCTTCATAAAAAAGAAAACCCCGTCTTAGCTTTTAATTTTAAGTTTATACGCTAGCGGATTTTTCTATATGTATTTTGTTTTTGTTTTATTACTTTTCTATTTTGTTTCGTTTTTTCTAATTAGGTTCGTATCTGTTATCATAACTTGCGTAACAGATGAATCGAAGTGACTGCCAAACACCGCCAGAGTGTTAACCCCAAAATAATGTATCCTATTTATATTTTCACCTTTAAGTGTCACACAAGGATTTTGTAAACAGATCAATCAGCGTTATCGAATAGTGTTCATAAGGTCGAAATCTACAGTCTTCCACCGTGGCAAAATAGAACTACTGGGGTCGGATGCCTTATATCGGACACTCCCCGAATAGGTTGTGATAAAATAATACGATTGAGATTTTATTTTGTGCTTTATTTTTGCCACGGTTATCGATGTTGTTATCTGATTTAGAAGGCGTGATGGTTTCATTATCATCATCTTTGGTGTTATTCCTAGAAGGACGAGAACATCCGATACTCTTGCAACAGGGATGGTGCGAGAGGAAAGGCCGCACGCTTTGTACTCAGTCAGAATAGATATATATGTGCGATATACAGAGCAAAGGTAGGTAGGTAGGTAGGTAGGTAGGTAGGTAGGTAGGTAGGTAGGTAGGTAGGTAGGTAGGTAGGTAGGTAGGTAGGTAGGTAGGTAGGTAGGTAGGTAGGTAGGTAGGTAGTAAGGTCGGTCGGTCGGTCGGTCGTCGGTCGTCGGTCGTCGGTCGGTCGTCGTCGGTCGGTCGGTCGGTATAAATGAACAAAGAATACCATCCACCACTTGGTCAGCACTCATAAATAGATGAATAAAAAATATGAAAGTAAATCGTTATTATACACGTCAAAGTCGATGTCTTATCTCTATGGTTACGTCACACATCTTATCGTTTCATAAGCGGTACAATGTCAACATGGGGGCTCGTTGCATTAGGGCAAGGTTTCCCAACCAGGGGTGTTCACAACTGGGGGGGGGGCATTCCAAAAGGGTGAGAGAAGTGTCCATCTCGAAGACAAGCAATTAATCTATTTATTATTCATAATCAATAAACAGGAAGGAATGTTCTATTGAATTGAAAATCTATTTATGGAAACGTTTTAAAGTTTGTTATTTGATTATGACGTAATTTCAAGCAAGAGATTTTTTTGTAAGGTTTATTCAGACAATGTTTTCTTGTCCATATGTTTGATTTTTTTGTTAACATATTATTAGAAAATGAAAAAGAATATTTTTTGTTGATCAAATTTAGTAAAAAAAAAAAAATCACCTCCATTTTCCTTAAATAAGCTATGAGTTTAAAGGGAGTGCGAGGACACCGTAAAATTTTCTTACGGGTGCGGGCGTGAAAAAAGGTTGGGAACCACTGCATTACGGGCTCATATGTATTAACCAATGTATACCCAAAATTGCTATATTGCAGGACGGACACACACACACATGACATAGCCGGAAGTAAAACACATGACACAAATATCCTTTAGAAGTCTCCTGTTTCCTGGTGTCAGTAGTAGCTTCCTGTGACACACAGCTTGGGTATCGTTAAGCTGTGACGTAAGTTCCAACTCCTGATTATGTAAAGTAGATAGTAAGTAATCAGAGACACTCATATCTATCAATCTCTCTCTCTCTCTCTCTCTCTCTATCTCTATCTCTATCTCTATCTCTATCTATCTCTCTCTCTCTCTCTATCTCTATCTATCTATCTGTGTGTGTGTGTGGGTGGGTGCGAGCATGCGTGTGTGCGTACTCCCGTAGAAACACAGAGAGAGATTCTAATCACTCTGTTCCCATCTCTTCCGCAGCAGCTTCCGCGCACAGACGACCATGCCTGAAGCGGAGGAAATTTCCACGCTCTCCCCCGAGTTGCAGCGCCTGGCCCGGGAGGAGCTGAACGAGGACCCGAAGCGGCGGGAGAAGGACATCCAGGCCGTGCGGGAGTGGCTCGTGAAGCAGCCCCACCTCAACGCTCGCACTGGTACGGGGCAGGGACAGGGAAGCTCTGAGTCAACCATTATGTAATATACAGTAAGCAGGCGATCGAGTGGCAAGTTAAAAGGAGGCAACCAGAGCGCCGCTGACGTAGAATTTAAGATTCATAGCCCGAGAGCGGTATTTTTATTATATTATTATTTGTTTATAATTTCAACTGGGAGAAAGCCGAGAAAAAGTTTATCATTACTTCATCATTGTTATTACATTGTTATTGTTATAGCCCGAGGGTCACTATTAGAATGACCGCTTCGGTAAATTTGGAAGGATTGCATTGCTTCACTGGATAGGTCGAAAGGACACTTTTTTCGAAGGACCAGCGGACATTTCAAAAGGGCACGAGGGACACCACAGGAAGGGCCGAGGGGACACTTGTTTCACGGCCGAGATACACCATAGGAAGGGCCGAGGGGACACCGCAGTAAGGGCCAAAGGGTGCTAATGGAAGGGCCAAATGGGCATCTTTTGAAGAGCGCTTTGGTTATATGCTAGCCGTAATCTGGCCCCTTGTCTCCTCTGACCTCGTCCTCTTCCTTCGCCTCATGTTCTCCTCCTCCTCATGACCTCGTCTTCCTTCTGCCCTCATGATCTCTTCCCTCTTTCCCGCATAATCTCCCCATCCTCTTTTGCATCATGACCTCTCCCTCCTTCCCCTCATGACCTCCTCTTCCTTCTCTTCCTCCTCACTTTTTTCCTATGACTATCACCTCTTCCTCCTTCATTCATCTTCCTTTCATGACCTCCTCTTCCTCTCCTCCCATTCTCCTCACCTCCTTCGCCTCATGACCTCCCTCATCCTTCCCCCCATGGCCTCTTCTTCCTCCTCCTTCCTCGTGACTTTCTCCTCATCCTCCTTCTCCTCATGCCTCCTCCTCCTCACCCTCCTTCCCCTCATGACTTTCTCCTCCTCCTCCTCCTTTCCCTTATGACTTCATCCTCATCCTCCTTTCCCTCATGGCTTCATCTTCCTCTTCCTTCCCCTTATGACTTTCTCCTCCTCCTCCTCCTCCTCATGACCTCCTCATCCTCACCCTCCTTCGCCTCATGGCCTCCTCTTCCTCCCTCCCGCAGACCGACAGCTGATTCTGCGGTACCTCCGAGGATGCAAGTTCTCCCTCGAGCGGACGAAAGCCAAGCTGGACATGTACTACACTTGCAAGGGCGCCCTCCCGGACATGTTCAAGGGAAGGGATCCTCAGAACCCGAAACTCAGGAGCATCATCAAGCTAGGGTGAGACAGCGTAGGACGACAACGAGGTGACTGAGGGTGACTGACTGAGAGTGACTGAGAGACTGGATGACTGTGACTGAGGGTGACAGAGTGACTGGCGTCATGGATTAAGAGAGAGTGGAGTTCATATGGTACGTGAAGGTGTATGTGTTTATTGGATGGATTGGTGATACTGTGTTGCTAGATGTCATTATAGCGAATTTATTATGGTTTATATGGTTTTAAAAGGCGGTAGAGATTTGTGAAATAGGTGAATAAATTGCTTGCGTAATCGTATGCTTTTTGAAATGATAAACACTAACAGATAATTGGCCAGTTTATTGAAATTGTCTGAGGCCCGACCCAATAAATATTTATATATACGAACATACATATTCACAAAAATATATGCATATCCGTCTATCAATCTAAACTTTAATCTATCTATCGATCCGGTAGATATGCATGTCTAGATTGATAGATATATATTCATTTCGGTATATATGTATGTGAATATTCATAGACTCGGGCTTCGCACAGTTTTAACAAACCGGGCGAATAAGTACTGCAAAATGTATAGACGGACAGGGATAGCAAGGCTTCCACCTCCCCAGGCTGATGTTCCCGCTGCCCGGCTACGACTCGGACGGCCGGAAGGTGATCTTCGGGCGGCTGGGCGCGTGGGATCCCTCCAAACACAAGCCCGAGGACCTCTTCAAGGCGGCCGGCATGCTCTTCGACGTGATGTTCCTCGAGGACGAGCAGATGACGGTCACGGGCATCGTCCAGGCCAATGACATGACGGGCCTGACGCTCAAACACGTGGCCGCACTTCCGCTGCCTCTCATCAAGCGCGTCTCGACCACCTGGCAGGTACGGTCTGCTCGACCAAGCCAGCCAGACATACGGTTGAGCTTGAAGATACTAAGTATCCTACCTTCCTTAAGTCTAAAATAGAGCGCATTTACGGGGTTGCTTTGCTCCTTATAAGGTAAACAAAAGAGGATCTACGATTCCACTTCCGTACTACGTTTACAAGATACTCGACACCTGACTCACACCTGACTCACCCATTCAAGATAGGCAAGCATATGACCCGGCGTTAGACCCAGACGGATAAACGTGACTCAGTTGGCAAGCATGGCATGACTCACCCACCAGATGCCATGGCTCTTATCAGTCAGGATTTTCCGTCTTAGTCACTAAAGGAAGTATTAATGGCATTCGAACTACAACAGTAAAGTGCCATTAAACACACACTACAAGGTGATTAAGAGGAAATAAAAACAAATAGATTGATTAATTCAGATCCTTCGCAAATACGTGATGAAACTTGACGTCCAGGAGACAATGTGACTGTTGTCGGCTTATCTTGTGATACGTTATCTTCGGGAGGATCGAGCGTGTTGCATCACTCCCTCCCCTGTGTTAAGACCCTTAGTGAGGCGTTTTCCCCCGTATCGAATGGCGGTGAAAGTGACCTCATTCAGCAGAATCTTATTTTCTTTATCTTTTGGAATAGTTAAATGATTATGTTCGAAAGCAACATAGAAAGATATTCAACCACAGACTTTATTCAAATATAAGTACAAATATTACAGTCTCTCCTCCCACATCAGGCATGTGCTAATTATGCATGTAATCGTTACTGTCAACTAATATATTATCAGAAGGACAAAGGTCATGTGTTATCGTAAGTCGACTATCAGACACACAAGAGGGAGAAATTAACTTGATATATGCGAGAAAATAAGTATATGTATTGATAGCTGAGTAATAATAATGATAGGCAAATATATAGGTGATATATAGGTGATTGAGTAGGCTGATAGATAAGTAAATAGAACAGATAAGTAGATAAGTTAATATGAACACACATTATTGAAGGCAATTCACATGATCTTTTTAAAAATTCGATAGATTATTGTATTTTGAAGAGCATGTGCCAATCTACGTAAGAGTTTCAAGGGTTAGGTTGAAATATCTAGCTATGCATCTATTCATTAATATGTGTCTATTCATTCATTCATTATGCATCATATTCATTAATCTATTCATTATGCATCTTATTCACTCATTCATTTTCAGACCATCTAAATAGTTCACTTTCTTTGTTCTGCTTTCAGGAAGGTTACCCGTTCCGACCCAAGGGCGTTCACTACATCAACACTCCACAGGCCTTCGATGCTTTGTTCAACCTCTTTAAGCCTCTTGATGCGGAGAAAATGAAGAAGAGTGAGTACTTTTGGTGGAAAAAGAAAAAGAAGAAAAAGAAATGCTATTCAAGCAGTGATCGTGTTAGTTAGCCATTTAGTCAATGATGTTAGTCAGTCAGTCTCTCTCTCTCTCCTTCCCTCTTTCTTTCTAAGCCCACTCCTTCCCTCTTTCTTTCTAAGCCTGTTTGCTGATTCCCATTTCTTTCCTCGGTATATTATTACAATTCCACACACCTTCGCCCTGGCCTCCTCACTGGTCTGTGTAGTGCAATGGCAACGTGCTGGTCTTGCAATCTTGCTGACCTGCATGCGATCCTGCGCACTAACAGTGGATGGTAACCCCAGCCATTCCTTGCGCACAGGGAGAGATTTAGAAGCAAAATAAAACAGACAGCATGTCCCAGCAAAGAATATCCATGGTAATAAATGGAATTGGAACTAATTTTTTTCTTCTATTTTTAATCACTCAACCTGGCCTTAACACACTCCGCCTTTGCAGATCCACATGCACGGCAGCAACATTGACGGAATGTGCAAGTTCTTCCCCCGTGAGATGCTGCCGTCGGAATATGGGGTCGGGGGAACCGTTAAGGAAATTGCAGGTGTGTGGATTAAAGGATTGTATGTATACGCTGTGTGAATGAGAGTAATTTTCATTAGATGATTCGTTGTTTGCATTAGCGGAGAAAAAAAGTAAGGGAGAGAAGAAAATGGTTTATGGTTAATGGTTACAAAGTAAAATATATGCTAGAAGAATATCAAAGGTCATAACACTATAAGGTGTAGTAAAAATGGGGTAAAGAGTATAGAGTAAAGTTGATGATAAAATGTGGTACATGTAAAAGTCGTAAAGCAGTTTAAGATGGTACAACACTGAGAGAGGTAAAGAGGTAAAAGCAGGAGGTTGTGTTAATGGGTTAAGGTAGGGATTAACAAATTAGATTAAAGTTGTCAAAGAAAAAGTGTAGGATTCTGAAAGAATATCCATGGGATAAGGTAAGGATTAGAAAAGGGAGAAAGGGGGAGGAGGGTGGGTTAGGCAGACAGACTGACGTTTAAGGGCAGAGGAAGAGGTAGATGTAGGAGAGGATGCGGCAGAAGATGGGTGGAATTTGGATCGTCTGATACCATGAACAGAGGAGGAGGATTTAGGCACCGGGGAAGTAGAGATTAGAACGAGAAAAGAATTTGACTGGAAAAGAGAGTAGGACAGAAGTAGAAACGTAAAGAGTTGAAGGAAGAGATACTGGCGGAGTAGAAACATTTTAGGGAGAATGGGGAGGGGCAGAATGAAGGACACCAAGATGTGTAAGAAAAACCTCGACGCGTACTTTTTGTTTGGCCTCGCATAAAGTGAGGCCAATTCTGACAATGAGGACTGCTACTTCAGACAAACTTGTAGGCAGGACAGCCACTATAAAAAACAACTGGCGCACATGCGATTATGGAGGGCGCAAAGAGGACAGTGGCTGTGCATAGCAGGGTGGCCAAAACACCAACATTTCTGACACTGACCTGGGAGGGCGATATGGTCAGACAGGCAGACTCTCTACCAATATAAGCTTGATGGTCATAACACTATAGAAAGACGTATTAGTAGGCTTCCACATGGGCGACGTTTGCTTGGCGTGACTTCAGAAAAAAACGAGCAAAACTTTGTATAGGTTTCGTCTTATGTTTAGCGAAGTATCGCCGCTTTGCCTGTTGTTCGAATAGGTGAAGTTACTGCCAGACGCACGAATTGACAAAGTACGGCGGTACCTATGAGCCGTCAGTTCTTGTCTCCATCAATCAATTCGTTTCTATATTTTGAGAAATGTCAAACCAAGGTGGAATTACGATCCATGTTGTCGTAAACCACTCGATCCTGTCTCAGTCACTGCCAGGCTCTGACTGCCCAACTAATGCCGTTTGGACACCAGCATAAATGCCTACGACAGCCTTAAAGAGGCAAAGTTTATCAAGCAAAGTTCGCCCGTGTGGACAGGGTCTAATTAGAATAAGGGGCTGTAGAGGGGATTACAAAAATATACCATTTGGCTGGGCTAAATATATATCATATAAACTATATATCACCTATATATCTGTTAGAATATTATTAGAGATAAGTCCGGTGGCAGAGAGTGTCAACCCGGATTTGAGACATATACAATGTTTTTTGTTGTTTCTGGTAGATCTAAGCCTATTGATGAGATCAGTCTAGTGCAAATTGCGCATCCTCGCGGAATTCTTTTTGTGACCGAAATTCAAAATGGCCGCTACCGTAAATCATTAATGACTAAAACAAGATCCTGGTTTTGGTGTCATATCCTAGGTTTTCAGGGGCTAGAATCGACTGAAACATATTTCATACATAATTAATAATTGATATTGGCAATATGTGAGGATCTCTTATTGACATTATGTGTCTGCATAGATACTTTTGAAATGTCCAGCAGATGATGCCATTTTCTCTCCATTTGGGGCATAATAAGTACATAAGGCAAGCATTATCATATTTTCATGTACACTTTCAAACGCTTCCTGAAAATGTTACTTTTTGCATTTATCTATATACAAAGTCTTTTCTTTGTAGGTCACTGTCATTATAGCAAAGCTTGATATGGTTATCATTACCTTTGTTCTATGAGCAAGCTGCTTGATTCACTGATAAAGTGCATGGCTATTGTATACCAAAAGCCGCCAGCCAAGCAAATATACAAACATCGCAGCTGTTCATAAAGGTCCTTCCAGAAGGTCCTGATCGAGAATCGATCCCTTAAATCTTGATGACCATCAACCTGACTTTTTAACATTTCGACTGACTGCATTTGTCCAGATATAATATTGCTAAACCTTTGCAAAAGGCGATCTGATAGATGTACTCCCACACAAGTTGGCAGTACTACCAATAATGTTTCATGAAAAGCCAAATAAAATGCGTTTACCGTCAGCAAAGTCTACTATAATGAAAAAGTTCCAAGTTGAAGTGAGGAATTGTAGATGTGATTCTTATACTTTTTACCCCCACACCCCGTCCAGGAATTTCTCTCCCTCCACGCCCCCTTGCACTTAAGAATAAAATTATAAACATGTTATTATGAAATGCTTCCGTTAAAAAGATAAATATATTCAGAGGGAAGTGCTCTTTGTGCCTTTTTAGGTAGTACACAATTGTTGTGTATTGGAAATCGATTCATATATATTTTAATACTGTATGAAAAAATAAATCGTATTCACGAATCGTCCATTTTTATTATTATTATTTAATGAAAGTAATTTCAGGCCAATTTGTTAATTTTTTACTGTCTGATGTTTCATATCATCACAGAAATTTTAAGAATTGTAATGAATAAAATGTTTGTCTACTCCATTTTCATGAAAGGTGCCCTTTCTCCTTTTTTCACCAGGGATGGGCCCATGGTCTAAAACGATTAGGAAAAACGCTGATGCATATAAACAAAGAGGGGTAATGATCTTAATTTCATGTAGCTAAAAGACGCCTTTTTTTCGTTTTACCATCACCTCCATCCCCATCTCTCACTCCCTCCCCTTCCCTCCTCACATTCCTTTCTCCTTCCTCAGACCAGTGGCTGCGGAAGATGGACGAGCACCGCGACTGGTTCCTGGAGGACGAGAAGCACACGGCGGACGAGTCGAGACGCCCCGGCAAGCCCAAGACGACGGCGGATCTCTTCGGCACCGAGGGCTCCTTCAGGAAACTCGACTTCGACTGAAATCCTCATCGTCTCTTTTCTTCCTCCAGTTTATTTATTGTAATCTCTCCATGCAGAGCGTTGTCCCGTGTGCGTGTGTGTATAGTTTGTATGTACGTAGATGTGGGTAAATGTGTATAAATGTGGGCAAATGTGTAATGTGTATGTGTTTATGCATTTGTGTATAAGTATGTACATACGCATGAGTTCCTACGAGTGTGTATAGACGTCTGTAAGGGCTGGAGTCGAGAGGGAAGTGGAGAATGAGAGGGAAGTGAGATGGGTGAGAAGGGGGGAGAGAATGGCAGTGAGGGGTTAATACGAGAGAAAAGAGAGGAAATGCCAGTGAGGGTGAAAATAATTGTGGGGATGAGAGTGAGGAGAAAGCGTTAGGATAACAGAGGGATTAAAAAACAATAGTGTGTGTGTGTGTGTGTGTGTGTTGTGTGTGTGTGTGTGTGTGTGTGTGTGTGTGTGTGTGTGTGTGTGTGTGTGTGTGAGTGAGTGAGTGAGTGAGTGAGTGAGTGAGTGAGTGAGTGAGAGTGAGTGAGTGAGAGAGAGAGAGAGAGAGAGAGAGAGAGAGAGAGAGAGAGAGAAAACTTCAAGTATCATAAATACCTGGACGCGGCAACAGGACAACATAAATAGGGCTTGTTTTCGTTATTAGCACCAAAACACCGTCCTTAAGCTCTCTATTACAATTGTAGCCGATATCCAAATCGGTTGCACAAATATTTTTGGATATTGACCAGTGTTTAATGTAGTTTTAAACGAACCTTTGTTCAATATTTTCATTTCGTTACTTGGTTGTGAAATGATAGAACACCACAATTTATGGCGTTTCAAATGAGCTGAAAATATACTACAGCGGTCACGCCGAATGACATTTCAAAATATTATGTCTTGAATTTTGATTTCGAACTGGTGTCTCGAGGCTCAAGTCGCGAGACAAGGATTTTAACCGCAACTGAACACACACAAGGTTTTTATTTGCTGTCGTCTTCTGCATCTCCACGTTTAGTTTAATTTTTGATATCTATGTAATCAATGTATGTAACCTGTAATGCATGCGGATGTGTGATCTTTGTAAATCTCTGTATTTTTCAATATATAACATGCAGTATTCTTTGTTTTTTCTTTCCCTGTCTCGATATATCACTGATTAATTAATTAATAAACTTCTTGATCTGTTTAAGACAAATCTTATTTCCGCGAGCCATCTGAGAGTTCTCACCTGGTAAATTTACTGATTCTTGAACACTGACATGCAGCGGGCCTAGCAGTGGACGGATCAGGACAAGGAATAAGAAATAAAGAGCTAAATCGACATAAAATTAATGTATTGGTAAAAACAGGACCTGCCACGTCACCAGTCGCGTGGACAAAGCGGCAGGTGTCACAGGGTCAAAGTCAGGCGTTCCCTAACATCAAGCACCCGAACGACAGCACAACGTAAAACACTACAGAAGATGCCCTTACAGGCCCAGACTAGTGATGTACTCCGGGTGGTGTTCGCGGACGTGGCGCACCAGGCGATGCGCCTTGCAGCCCTTGAAGTTCTGGACACACCGGCCATGGCGCGCCCCGTCTCGTGCTGGCGGGCGTGCCTCTCCGCCTGCTCCTCCGACTCGAAGTTCTCCTCCCCGCACGCGCCGCACATCCACCCGCCCGACGCCGTGGCCTGCACGTGGCGGGACACGCGCGTGCACACCTCCGTCACCATGTGCACGATTCGGTCCGACGGATGGCGGAAGCCCCGGCCGCAGCGCGTGCACGGGAACGGCTTGGCCCCGGAGTGCACGCGGCGGTGGGCGTTGGTTGGGGCCGCGCGTGAAGCCGATCCCGCACACCTCGCACACGAAGGGGCGCTCGCCCGTGTGCGAGTACATGTGCAGCTTCAACTTGTACTTACTCTCGTACTTCTTGTGGCAGATGTAGCACTCGGCGTTCTTCTCTCGGGTGTACTTGTAGTTGGACATCGTGCGCACCACACGCCGCCGCGAAGGGCCGGGGAGCCCCTCCCCGGCGTAGGAGGGCCGGAAGGACGGGTGGCCGCCCTCGCCGCCGGCAACGCCCTGGCCGCCGTCTGGGGTGGCCGGCACGTAAGTGATGGGAATGACCTGCTGTTCGTGGATGGTCTGCAGGCGCTGGTGGTCGCCGGAGAAGGGACTCTCGTGGTGGTGAGGACTAGAGTGGTGCAGCGCTGCGTGAGGACGACTAGGGTGCTGAGACTCGCCCGGGATGACTTGCAGCGCCTCCGCGTGTGAGGCGGGATGGTGCGACATCACGGGGTAGGGCGAGCTGATGGTGACCGTGCCCAGCTGCTCCAGGTGAACCGACTCCGGCATGATCCCGCGACGGCATGCGACTCGTGCTGGTGCTGATGATGCTGGGGAGAGGATTCTGGAGTTGCTGGGGCTGCTGCAGCGCCTCTGCATGGGGATGCGCCTGGAGATGAAGCTGGGCGTCGGGCTGGTGCTGGGGCTGCTGCATGTGGGGCGGATGCAAGGGCTGAAGGGCATGGGAAGGGGCGCCGCCATCAGGAGTGAGAGGACTAACTGTGTACTGCAGAACCGGCGTCGGCGGCTCCCCTCCTCCTTCAGGAGAGTCCGGTCGGTGTTCCGAAGGTTCGGGAGGCGATATGGGCTCCAGCTTCGGCAGGTACGGCGTGGACTGGTCCTTTGCCTCTAGCTCGGGGGCCGCCTCCAAGTACGAGGCCGGCGGCGGCGACACGGCGAGCGGGTCGTCCTCCTGGGCGCCGGAGAGGTCCTCGGGCTGCTCCTGCTCGGGGGAGGGAGTGGGGGCTGGGGTCAGCAGGGGCGGCGCCACCACTCGCGCCTTCGGCTCGTGCTTCTCCTGCTCGAAAAGCGACGTGTCGAAGTCCGGCGCCCAGTCGAAGGAGGCGCCGACGCGCTGGCGCTTGGCGGGGGGCTCGGGGGTGTCGTCCTCGGCCTGCAGCTGCGGGGGCGTGGCAGCGCGACGCGGCGGAAGGGGCATGGCCACCATAGGGTACTGCTGAGCTGGGCCACATCCCGGGGTGAAGCCCCATCACCCCGGGGCTGTAGCCTGGAAGGGAGAGTTCTCTTTAATCAAGTAAGTCATTTAGAAATTATCAACGGTTTTTCATACATAAGACCAGAGTGCAACTTTTATTTGATAAAAAAAAAAAATAATAATAGATAAGGGAAAACAAATGTAAAATATATATATATATACATACATATATGCATACATCGTATATATTGTACACACACACACACACACACACACACACACACACACACACACACACACACACATATATATATATATATATATATATATATATATATATATATATATATATATATATATATATATAAAATAAATGGCTTAATCAGTGCCCGCCAGAATTAAAGCCTATACAGTACCGACGATACATTGACCTAAATTATCTTGTCTGCAAACACAAATTCACCTACGAAGCACAAAACAACCAGCTGCCTTTTTGCATACGGTTGTCACCTGTGAAAATGGCCTCTTTCACACTAGCATTTATCGTAAACCAACATTTCACTGGCTTTGGTCTCCAGTTCCTTAGTTATACCCAGTACATATACAAAATTAATAGTAAAAAAAACACTCCTTACAAGAGCCCATAATCTATGGAGCAGTTGGTCCACTTTTCATGATGAAATCACTTTTCTAAGATATCTTTGCAACTAATAGATATCCTCTACATTTATTTGACAAAATAATGAAAACTTTCCTGTATAACAAATTCTCAGACTTGCTATATCACAGATATATAAAACCACCATGTATGGGTAAATTGTTTTGTAATCAGGAAACAATTAAAATCTCTCCTACAAAGTAATTACCCACAAATCAAGTTCACTTTTGTCTTTAACAATAATGCAACTAAAGATTCCTTGAAACAATCTGGGAGTCTCCATTCTGATCTATGTTCTAATGTAGTGTATTTATTCACCTGTCCTAGCTGCCAAGCAAGGTAAGTGGGGTCAACCTCACGGTGGTTACGTCACCGCACAGCAGAACATAAAGGCAAGTCATTTCCAACTGGCCTCTCGTTGAGTAGACCTTCTTTCTCGACTACAATAGAACACTCCCTTCAACACATCCTTTCTCCCGCACAGATTTTCGTATACTATCGTCCCATTCCCCCCGCAAAGATCGTCATCATTTTAGAATCTCTGTTGATACACAAAATGTCTCCCGGGGTGAACAATACCTCCACAGCAACCACTTTGTTTACTCAGACTCGTTTCCACACCCTTACTGGTTAGTTTACATTTACTTAACTTTTGTTGTATTTTTCTTTTGTTTGCGTTTTATATTATTCACGTGTATATATGTTTGTACCGTTGTATTCTTGTATAGAAAGGTGTGAATGAGAATGAATATCTTCAAATTCCCACACGTAAAGGGAAGCCCTCTCCCTTGGACTCAAATTCAGCACCGGGCACAAGGACCTAAATGACTACATTGTCTCCAACTACCGACAGTGATGTCGACAAAGGGTTCATCCAACGGATTACTGCTTGCTGTGTGACTGATGCATCGTCGCACCCCCGGCGATCCCTCGCACATACGTCACCGCGATGAAGGGCCTCCGCGACGACGAGACCATCACCCTGGCCGATAAAGGTGGGGGTATTGTTGTTAGGGATAAGACTTGATTATACACATAATATGAACAATTTACTTTCCGATGCTTCTGTTTACAGGAGAGTGACGAATGGAAGCTGCCATATTAAAGAAGGCAAGGGATATACTCCTGCGGTCGGCTAGAGGGAAAGGCTTACTTCACCTGCTGGAGGAGGCCCCCCGCAACCCGTCCATGAGAGGTCTCCCGAAGGTGCACAAGCCAGGTGTACTGATGAGGCCGATCACTTCTGGCACTGGCAGTGCTCCCCAGTGTTTGGCGAAGTTTTGGCAAAACCCCTCTCCGCCGCTAAGGGAGTCATCAGTGATTCCCACCTGAAGAACTACGGGGACCTTATCAGACGTCTTCAGAATTCCTTATACAGAAATTTTTAAAAACTTTAAAAGCCGCACACTTATCAGCCATGCGATCTCAGCACCGCGCAGTGCCTTCTTATCGCTATACGTGAGATTATCGCTGGTATTCCCCAAGAAGATGGGATGCCCAATTGCGTTCTGCGTATGAGCTGGATGATATGTCCCTTCTACAGTTGGGTCATCACGTCATCACTTTCCTCAGGGAAATTATTTTAAATATCATTTACAACCACGAGGGTTGTCATTCGGCTGTCAGTTGTCTCAGGGAAGCTGACCC